GACTAGAGGTCAATAGTGAGGAGGTGTGGTTGTGACACGCAGCGGGTGGGAGTGGGGGGCGTGGGGCGGTCGAGTACCGACTCACCTACGTGTCGAGCATGGTGTGACCGTATGGCTGTGAGAGCGGCTGGGTGACATCAGGCGACACGCAGTCTACACGCAGGAGAAAACCCCCCTCCCTTTCTAAGGGGCCAGTTAAAAGGCAGGCTAAGGTCGGGACGCTTGAAAAGGGAGGGACCAGATCAGCCCCTTTCTATAGATGCTATCATTAAATCCTTATAAGATATTACACTTGAAATAAAGGAAAACAACTGACTTAATTATTAAAAATCAAGGAAAACCACTGTCTTTGTGATGGAAATTAGATCTCTTAGTGTGAGCTCTACCAACCAGTATAAAAATTTGAATTAAATAGTTCAAATGACTTTTTAAAAACAGTTTTTCAACTATTGAGAAATTGGAATAAAATTGATATGTCGTCAAACAATATGACTGAAGCATTTCATAGAAGCAAACCTCCTTAGGCTGCGTGAACAATTATTTACTTTGAATAGTTCTAGACTGAAGTGAAACTAATATTAGTCAAAGTAGTTTCACACACCATATGTCCTCACTATTGAGCTCGGAACATGTATTACCTTTCCTTTAAGAGTTAAATCAATAGTGAGAGTTGTAAAATATTTTTAAATTGTGCCAACTATATGAAGGACAGTATTAAAAATGAAAATGGAACTTAAAGGAAAGTCAAGTTTAGCTGGTGCCAAAAATTTACAAGACTCTTTGGGTTTATGAGGATGAATAAGGAAACGAAAGACTGAAAAGAACATGAAGTCTCTATTATCACAGCATGAGACATAAATCAGCTAGTTGCAGACTATCCCATTATGGGTTAGTGGATGAGTCAGATGCGGTACCAAAGAAAACTTATGAAAACATTTTTGGAAGAGCTGTCATATGTTAAGTTTGTTGTTTATAGGTAGGCTTATTTCTATCCTTGCAACCTTTTACAAAGCAACTATTGTAAATCCACCTATTAGAAAATCGTCAGGCATTGTACTATATACCTGTTTTTGTGTTCATTTGATGTAAAGAGTCTTTGTTTGCTGCACAACACTATGGAAAAACTATACGCACCCAACTCAATTATGTGCTTCAATGAGAAATCACTTCATACCCTCTGAATTGATCTTAATTTTGCCACAGTAAGTTAAGCTACTTAAAGCTGTGATACAGAGAAATTTAAAAAAAAGATATTTCTGTTATTTTCAATAATTCATATTCAGTGATGAATGTGGTCAATTCTAATACTCAAAGATTACAGAAGCGTAATTTAAATCTTTTGCGTAACTATACCAGTCTTGTACAAAGCCAGCATAAGTAAAATCACTCCACATAAGTCTATTGCACATAGAGTGCTTCAAGCCAACAGCTTTAAAAAAAAAATGATGTAGAATGAAATGCACCACTTGGGACCAAATTGTAAACAGAACAAATGGGAATATCTGTCACGGCCTAAAACAACATTCTCCCATGATTTTCTAAAAATTATAATAGTATTCAAAATGAAATGAATAATCTGGTTTAATGGTAAAATAGATGGAAAACCATGTATTAACTGCAAGATTAAACATAAAGGTTGAGCACAAAAATCATCAAGCACAGAATACCTGTCAAATAAACCATGCAAGGAAAACTGTTCATAAGCTTTTACCACTAAAAAACGAGATAGAACTGTAAAATTCGGTTTCCTCCAAAACTTGTAAAACAATAAAACTGACTGACTAAAATGTCTCAAAAGTCACAAGACCTTCGAGAGAAGAAGTCTGAATTGGACAACTCAAATCAAATTGTAAACAAGTGGGTGCATTGTCATGTGAAAGAGCAGAATGAGAAGGCTTTCTTTGCCTCTCCTTGGCAGAAGCAAATATTAATAAATATGTGCTTGACAAATAAAGGATTGATGGCAAATTTCCCATATTCAAAATTAAGATGATAATTGAAACAGTCCTATTTTTGGTAATATTTGAGTTCTATGTCTGCTTCTGGTACAATAATATTATTGTATTTTGTAAATTTCCTTGCCTTCATGTGCCTCCTAATTAAAAAGTATATCTCTGTACAGATAAGGGTTTCAAATGTGTAATCCATGTAAAATGGCTAATTTTAGAATGGAATTTCTTTCACACTTTCTTGTTATTTGCAAATCTGCCATTGCAAGATGAGATCTTAAGAATATTTTATACCTAACTCATATTTGACGATGATAGATAAATCAAATTAACAACACTGTCGTAGAGTTTTAAATTGTGGACTAAAATGTAACTTTCAAAACCAACCATTCATTTTTTCGTCAGATATCTAAGCTCTCCCTCTGTTCAAGGTGTCAGCAAATCAAACAATCAAACAAAAATCAACTATCAAAACAAAAACTTCATCTAGCTATACCATTTTATGAAAATGATCCAGTCAAAACAAATGTATTCAGTACTCTTTTACATATTTATCCATAAATATAATCCCGATGTAACTGAATTCCATCAATTGGAAGCTTATTGCTTCGGTAGAAAAGATTTTGAGCAAGCAATTGGCATTTCATCCTTGATATTGAAGTTGGCTCATCTGCGAGTTAACTTCAAATTACATCTGCAAGTTCTTCTTTAGATTACATAATATTTCGTATAGATTTATCATATTCTAATCATTAATGTATTTATGCATGTTTGTTCTATTTGTAATCACATAACTCTATAAACCACATTACTATAAATGTCACTAGTTTACTTAGTCATCCTGTGAATTAAGGGAGATATCTGTAGGAAAACGAACTGAGCCCCATATTTCCTTCAATATTTCAACGGAATTCTAGAGCACAATCCTTAAAGTTCCGTGGAAGAATCTCTCTTCATTCAACAGAGATGAATGTAGGAATTGATTGTAGGTTTTAAAAACATCTTTGGTAGTTCTGACTAATTAATAGTTGATTAAGGACGACTGGATTCATTCCATAAAATGAGTAAATGAACATCCGTTTTGTATAAGGACAACTGGATTCATTCCATAAAATGCGGAAAGGAACATCCATTTTGTATATCAGTGAGCACAGATATTTACTGGTTGTTGTCTTCTTCAATCTACTTTTCTTCTTAACAAAAAACAAAAACAAAACTGACACCACTGTTCTGAACAATTCTGAAATTGTGTGTTCAAATTTAAATCACAGGAAGTTAACAGCTATTATGTTACAATTACAATATCGACATTACTTGGAGTGGAGGGATACATTACACTTAGTAAAGCATTTGACCTGCCAAAAAAGAGACACCAATGCACACTTAAAACTGATACTCACTCACTGTTCCATGATGATGCATCCTGAGGTAAAACTAAAAAACTAAACCAAACAAAATTAACCACACACAGAAAGAAATCCCTGCAATGTTTTGACGGCAACTGTACCACTCAATAAAAATGTAAACCATCAGACCTGACAGTTTTGGAGATATATAAATAAAATATCTAAAATCATGATATAAGATTCCATTCAAAACTTAATTAAACTAAAAGAGTAGTTTAAAATTATTCTTGAAGTTAGATACACAAACAGAATAAACTTTTGCACTTTGTATAATACTTCTTATGAAGAAAAGACAGCAATGGCATATTTGCATACCAAGTATAATTCCATTTGTAACAGTGCTGAAAGGAATTTCGTCTTGTAAATTGATATGTATGTATTATGTATGTGTATTTAATAGTATGCTTCATAAATGTTTTCTGAAGCTACATTTAACAATTAAGATCATCAGCTCACCAGATGACAGTTAAAGATTTGTTTACAGTAAATCTTGAATTTTTTAGAAGGAGACATAGCAGGAATGGAGGCTGACCAAAATACTGGAACAAAACCAAACCAATCCTGCTGAGCTTGGGCTTTGAATTTTTGTCAATTTTATGAAACAGAAGTATATCACAGGAAAGTTTTCAATCAATTTTCTTGAGTGAAAGTCAAATCAAAGGAAAACATGGCTTCTTTTCCTGCTCCAATTTATGTTCAACACAAATTGCTTGATCTATCATCTACAGTTGTCTTTAGAAATACAATCAGTGTAGTTCTGTCAAAAAAGCCATAGGTTTTGAAACTGAAATTCTTCAGCCTCTTCTTTAACAACCCAAAGCAATCCACCCACAATACGACCAACTTGGACATCTGACAACCATTTCAAGGCTCGGTTTCATGTTTCAGAAACATTGTACTCAACTCGTTCGCTATTGTACAATATTTTGGTGAAAAGATTGGCACATTCCCCAGACAAACAGGGGGTAGGTCTCTGAAAGAGTCAAGTAACAGACTCACGATCTCGAGATAGTTCTTCTTGAGAGGCACTCAGTTGGCACTCATTAGCAACAGATGTTTCATCATAAGGAGTGGTGGCAGTCCGTGCTTCAGAAGAATTCTCCCCCTCTATTCTTTCATAGCCACTGAGGGTTTCTTGATTTCTGTAAATAATAACATTAGGAAATCAATCATGTTCACCATAGGAATTAAAGTTTCCACCAGAAATGTGGGAAGGTATTAATGGTTTAAAATGAAATCCAGATGGTTGAACACATTGTCATGGAATGTTAAAAATTGTTATTTTTATTTTTAAATAAGTTTCTCAAAGAAGAAATAATTAATGAAAAGTAACCTGATACAAAAGAATAAACAGAAAATATCACATGGTATCACATTTTTTTGTAAAGAATCCAGAGTACGTCCAAGGAAAGCCACATCAAAACTACAAGGCAGCATACCATGCAATGCAATCACATTAAGAACTAAAATTCATGTCAGGTCAGTGACACTACGATTGCACAGTAGAAAGAAACCTTGAAATTACAAATAGAACTAAGTCAACCATTACATAAGTGAAATTAGATACTGTTGGAAGAGCTACATGGCTCCATAATAGATGGAAGATAAACACATTTACATTTATCAGGAAAGTTTTAGGACCATCACATGATTTTAGAAATGAATCGAACTACAAAGTCTAAAAGGCAAAACAAATTACAGCACTTGCTCTAAGAGTTAGCTAAGATAGTCATGCCGACACCCAATAACATGCAGGAGTGATTGTGATTGGTAAGGTGATTTCTGAATCTTCTTCATAAAATTTAAGCCGACACGTTGTAAGCCTTTGAAGATGGGGTTCTGAAAGAAGAAGTAAGTGCACAATGACATTATTGTGTTTCCAAGAGTTGCAATGACAAGTCCAGCCAAAACAAAATTTTCTATGAGGGAAAGATATTTTATCCCTTCTGCTCAAAGAAAAATATAGATGACAACACACACTACAACAGCACAACCACACAGTACACAATTTAATATTAAGATAGGGTCTAATGAAGCATAAGATATGATATAGATATGCCACAGCAATTTAAAGCATGCCAAAGCTACAACTTGTAAAAAAGTCAAAACATACCTATACAGAATGTAATGTTGCACCATGAAGAAAATGTCAAATATGATTGAGATGAGTCCCAAACCAAATTTTGTTGGAGACCCGAATATGGATATCCAGTCATCTGCATCAAAAAAATTAACATAATGATTTCTGTAATTTTTTCATCTTGAAACACAAAACGGATACATGTGGCACTGAGTATAACCCCCAAATTTCGGTTGATTTTGAACATAAAAGTGAAGAAACATAAAAGAATCGATAAAAACTTACTGTAGTTGTAAGCATCAAGCACCATTTGAAGAACACTGAGCAATCCACCAGTGAAGTCACACAGGATATTACCTATGCTCCATCCAACAGTACTTTGACGGCGGTAATTCATAAAGGCCTGTAAAAAATTAAATTTTTCAACACATGTATTAGAATAACATTGAAGAGCATCAACCAAACTCTTACCTGAGGAATGTATTTTATAAGAGTAATGCAGAGTTTCACGTATGAACAGTAATACAGGAAATCAAGCCAAAGTAGAACTTTGAACACAGAGCAGAGCATAGCAATAAAGAGAAAAATGAAGAATATTCCTTGAAGACCCCTTGCAACAAGGGATACTGTTTGACCCCCACGCTGTAACAAAAATGTGCATGCTGTGACAGACATTTTAACAACTGATGCTAAATTTTAAGACATCTCACCATACCTCATATAGGAAACACTGGACTATAGTAATCAATGTAACAACCACAGCATGGAGGGCAAAAAATATGTCATTAGGTTGCACTGGAATCCCGCTATTAGGGTAGCGATCAAAATATTGGCTCTGAGGAGATAAAACAAGTCAAATACACATTAAGTTAGTATTCCTAATATGTTTTGAAGACAGTATTTCAATAACTATAGAAAACAGACCTGGATCAAAGGAATCCAATACAGACCACAGTTGAACAATGAATATAAAGTAAACCCAGTAAGATTCAATGTGAGAAAATCAAAGTTCAAACCAACAACACTGAAAGAAAATTTAGATTGAAAATAAATTGATCATATCAATTTCGCCGGCGAATGTCGGACATTCGCCGTAACATTTACATATTAGATAAAAGCTGATCGTAACCTTTTCCGTCTCCAGTTTTCAAAAATTTGTGGATAAAATGATATTGACCAAACTCCAAAATAAATCCAGCCCACAATGACACTAATGATTTCAATTTCGGATGAATGTTCAGAAGTTACTTTCAAGAAGGCACCATCAACTCTGTAAAGAAAGAAAACAAAATATAAGAGTTTTTAAAATAGTTCTGCCACTTCCACAGCAGTGTGGTTGTCATGTTAGTTTTATTTTGACTTCTTCAACAAAACAGAGTCTGAAGAAATTGAGCATGTATACTTCTCAGAGACAAATTAACAACTTACTTTATGGCTGATGAGGTATTTGCAGTTATCTCTACATGACCTGGAGATTTACCAAACACGTTGATAAGTTGGGTATATGGCACAGGCGAGTTGGCTGGAATTATTATTTCAGAGGGTTCTAAGGTCACAATATCAGCATTTGAGACTGTGAACTGAACATTTATATCTTCATTTAATTTTGTACTGCAAAGTAAAAGATAGAAAAAAAAAGATGAAATGGTAAATTTTTTGAAAAATATAATACTCATACAGTAAGGCTCTCATCTTAAAGTATAGACTGACTTTGAAATCAGTCTGACTGCAGTAGCTTTCTCATCAACAACAACTGTTAATGCTTGAGGATCTATTAACAGATCACTTTTTATGAGACTTGGGGAGCCTGAAACATAAAAATACACATAATTGAAATACTTGAATCATTTCGTCATGCTGCAGTGCCTCATAATTTGAATAAACTTACCCAGCAATAAGATGCCCACAACAGAGAGACAAGTCAATATCTTGGCCATTTTAAAATTAGAATTGATTATCTGTGGACGTAGTCTGGATTCTTCTTATTTTATAAACTAAAAATAGTTGGATGGCAGCAACAACTGCAATAAATAAGAATGCAACAATTAGATTATAAATAAGAATGATAGTGAGATGACTGGGGAACCTCCCCCATTCGTATGACTCGTCACAGTATGCAATACATCATAGAAGACACTTTTTGTGTAAACCACATAGAGACTACTCAAGAAACACTTTAACACCATACTAAGAAGGATGGCATTAGTCTGATATAATCGTAAAATAAGATACCTGATCACAAATGATTTACGTAACTAACCTCATTATCTGAGATAAACCGTGTCATTTTTATCTCATACAAGACTTTGTGACAGCTACCGGCGCCCTAGAATCGAACACGCAGGTACATTGAGAATTACCCCAAGCCAACAAGGAAGTGCCCGGCATGTTTTTCCTTTTTGACATGTGGAACTGTCACCGCGGAGAAAATGTTTACATCGCGAAGTTTACTTTCCGATTCAAGGCCGCTTTATTCGGTGGAGCAGACAACTCCTCC